TCATGATGCCCTTCCACCTCTCGCGTGTCAATGATTGCAAGTGGCATTAAATGAGCCTCCTCTACCTAAAACGTATTGGGAGTTCCACATCACTAACCATGCATATTGCAAGGAAACTTCTTATGCAACTAATTAATGGCCGGTAATGTGAATTTAAGAGATTACTTTCCCTCAGAAATTTCCGAAAATTGGCGCACATAATTTTGGGACACCCTTATGGGTAAATTTTTCGAAGAATGCCTCTTGAAATTAATTCAGATTGGCTTGATCAAGAGCTGCAACCATTTAGTTATGCAAAAGATATAACAAAATTTAAAAAACGATTCTCAACATAGTCTTAATATAAACAAATGCGAGATATTCACACATGTAAGCACCGTATAAAGAGTGAGCAACTCGGATTGGATACAAACAGATAACAACATACACTACCATGAGAGAATACTTCAAAGTTAGACAACACTCACGAACATGAACAGAGCATAACATCGAAGTTGTAGGGTACTGTGGCTTTGCTTGGATTCGTAGCCTGCATGCCCCTTCAACCCAACGTTCCGCCTGTGCATGTCTTTGTGTTTACCCGCATCATTAGTTAAAAGTGGTGAGCTTCGTTGATTTGCGTCTGCCTATCAGTGCTTTCCTGAATCAATCTTGATCGATGTCGTCAAAGGTGGCTAGTTTGAAATCGCCGAAATTCCTTCTAATATCTCGTGACAACGCTTTCATCTCTTCAATAGCCAACCCTTCGTTGTCTGACTCCATCTCGTACTCGTTTTCGTAGCCGATCGAGTGCACTGATTTCCACCTAAAATTGGAAGGTGGTAAAGAGATAAGGTTAAAGGCAATGGGCAAGAGTGTCTAGTCGAGCACGTGGAGCATACAGTAGCGCTCAAAAGTATTCGGCCAAAGGCTTCTTCACTCGTACTTTTCAATCATAACTCCTTTCCTAGTGGATCTAATCAAGCGAAATTCCAATATGTGTGCATGGGTGTAGTGTGAATACCACTACTAACCTGCAATCTCATCAAGTTCCAGACATCCCTAAGAGCTTGAACTCAAAATCAACTGAAATGCAGACATTGGTCCCCCTAGGATTTCTTTCCTTTTTGCCATGTCTTAAGTGTACGAGCGCTAATGCCGAACACAGAAGAGAAGAAAAACGCACATGAGGTCAGAATAACTGCAGACGTCACAAACTTGCTTTCAGCATAGTCTATAAACGCCTTCCCTTAGTTATGTGGACATTGCTGGTTTGCAGTCAAATAGTGTTAGATAGTGTGAAACATGCTTCAGTTAAACATATCAAAATTTCATGCGATTGGCTCTACTGGGAAAAAACTTACGGCAAGTTAATGTCGGCCGAATACTTTTGAGCGCTACTGTATGTACAGGGGAAAGGGTATTATTTTGGAGGCGAGGTGATGTTTGCCCGGCGAACGATTGCCCAGGCTATAAGGGGCTCTAGAGTTCTAAACCATCAGCAGCCATAGCTCATGGTAGACGTAATGCCGATGAATATACTATTAGAGCGGGCAGAGAACGAATTACTGATTTGCGGATCGTTTAGGTTACGTTAACCCTTTGAAGACAATAGCACCCACCGGTGGGTGCCAATATGACTAGTGCATGGGACATTAACAATCAATTTCGTGTGCCACCAAACTTTCCTATTTCTTACCAATTGCTAAATTCAGTAAGCCAGTGAAAAATTTTCTTGGGACAGTGTCACCCACCGGTGGGGACCAGTCGCGCGCGAAAAGACGGGAGTGTGGTCCCATGGGCGCGGCACGTCGAAATCCGCAGTGTCGTCAAAGGGTTAATCAAGAATTGATAGTTATTAATTGACTCTCATCTTCAAACAAACACCACATCGTCGGAATTCCCATACCGCTGTCGGTACATTTAACATATTCATGAAGAATAATTGCAACTATGCTTTTGAAAGCGCGTCTGTTGTCCTTCCACACTTCAACCTCTAAATTGACCTACAAGTTTCTACGAAAACGTTCGAGGAAAATTGAGCTAACCAGCCTTCGAAAGGAAGGGGCTTAGGAAGTCTACACTCGATTCACAACTAGAGATTAATTTTACAAAATTGAAACTGTTTTCTGGCAATAAAGACCGCGTACCTCAGGGGATCGAGTTCTACACTGCTAGCAAGACTGCTGCAATTCGATTCCGAGTCGCCGTCGTCACCCTTGACACGGGTTCGCCAACGCCGCCTTCGCTTCTTGTCTCGGGATCTGAAATCGGGCTCCGTTCACGAGTATATTCGAAGTATACTGTAGCAAATTTTTGTTTATTGGATTAAAAATACCTGGACGTCCGCCCGTTCGCATTCGTCTCGACGTCGGACAATGCTGCTTCAGATTCTGCATTGTCGTATTCCGTATGGCATGCAGAAGACATTGCACGATGAACGGATTTCATTGAGCCAAAAGCCGTAGGGAATGGTCGGTACCTGAAAATCCCAAGGTTCCAAGGTTATGTTCATGTTCTCACATCGGATTTCGGAGTGGTTTCAGATAGACTCACTCCAATGGTTTGATATCGGCGAATTCGCCATAAGCGTTCAGTTCTTGTAGCATTCGATCAACTCGGTTTGCAGCCGCTTCGAGCCTCTCAGCTGGATCTGCCAGGGAGTCATCATAGTCTGTAGAATTTCCCTGAAATCAAGAATGTTTAGCGCCGATTTCGTCTCAGACCAATTCGAAGGGCATAGTTGCGAGAACATCGGTGTAAGTGAGGATTAAGGAAGGTGGCTTCCACGCGGTATACGACTTTCTGGCCGCGGCGGAGTAAACCCACTACCAACTCGGGGGAAAAGATAGAAATCTACTGTCATTTATATTCTCTAGCACTCAGGATTTACAGTATCTCTGATGCAAAACGCACTAAAAAACAGTATTTCTGCATCTTTTCCGACGTTCAGAGGGGAGAGCAAAAGTCCCTTTATAAGTTTCGATAACCACATTTTTCATGGATGACCACGCATCTCCCATTCACCACCCACACGAGATTTTTGCGCCCAAAGCCCGAATGAAATGGCGAATGTATACTCAAAGGTACTCCTATGTGAAATAATCCTTGTTTCGCGATAATCATAGGTGGGACTGCATTTCATTCACTTCATCTTTTCAGTATATTACCATTATAGTATTTCTTAAGAAAACAATAAATGAGAAATTACCCGTTTCAGCCACGAGAACGGATATCGTAACGATGACTTCGAGCTTCCTTGACGGCGTTGTCGTCCTAAATCACAAATATTAAGTACAACAAAGGCGATCACTCAATGCCGCGGTTGAGCAACGGTCGAACTCGTTGCCTAATTGTATCTATTACCAAAGTTGCTATGAATTAAAGCTGTTATTAATAATAATAATAATATTATTATTATTATTATTATTATTATTATTATTTATTATTTATTACTTAAAGGCTTCAGGGGAACTGCGGCTGCCATGTATGTAGAGGCATTGCAACAACTTCAGCCAATCGTGTCACAGCCGGCACCCCTTCCACCTCTCACTGGTGAACAATAATGAGGAAATATTGCTGATATGAAGAATGCCTTTCTCCCAATTTCTTCCCTCTTTCCTTTTGCTTTTCTTCCCTCTGTTGCAATCGTATACGCAATCGTATTTCGGGAAAAAAGTATACGGAAAACAGGGAAGTCAAAAGAGGAGGTAGAAAAAGATGCTTTTCCAATAGCAAATGCCTCTATTCCTCCTTCCTTCCAATTATATTGAATGAATCGGAAGGCAGAATGAAAAAAAAAATCAGTTTTTGCAGAGCAGTGGGAAAACAAAAAATAAGGTAGCTCTTAGTGATAACTCGGTACTCCAGTTCATATTGATCCATTTTGTTATTGCATTGTCCAATTTTGTTTGAGGCTGTTAAGCGTTGGAAGGAGGTGTGAACAGACGGCCCAAGGCCTGATGCTCGACAACAGTGTCAAGGGTTCAGCGTCGGAGTAGCCGGATTCGAATTTGTGAAGGAGTGCGTGTTGAGTATGAGTAAACAGTTCTGTAGTTATACGACTAAATAACTAAGGAAGAGGTAGCATAGTGTCCTTACATATAATAAAGTTTCGTTAGAGATCAGATATCTGAGCCTTCTCAGTGAGTATTGAAAGGGTGGTTGCTTACTGAATATCATTGGCCTTTAAGATTATATCGCGGTCTATGGAGATCTCGCGAAATTATTGCAAACATGCATAAAACTCCATAAATAGGAAGAGCACGAGGGAATAATCGCGGTTGGAATGAAGCATCGAGTAATACACGCTGCATACCTCGTTGGCTTCCACGACTTCCACGACTTGGCGCTCTGCTGTCCTGCTCAGACCAATCGGAGTACTGGCCGACATGGTCGCCCTTGTAGCTGTCGGAATATCGTTGCGCTATCATATTATCGGATTCATAAGGCTCTCTGAAAAGCGTCAGATTTGTCTTCGGGCTCAGAAACCAGGAACAAACTTTGATTCAAACCATATTTATTAGTGTATTCTAAAGACCGACCGATACGGATCATAATCAGACGCACGGTAGTTTGTTCGCAACGGAATGACGGGCTNAGCCTTCTCAGTGAGTATTCAAAGTGTGGTTGCTTACTGAATATCATTGGCCCTTAAGATTATATCGCGGTCTATGAAGATCTGGCAAAATTATTACAAACCTACACAAAACTCCATAAATAGGAAGATAACTTTCGAGGGAATACCCGCGATTGGGAAAAGCTTCGAGCAATACACACTGCATACCTCGTTGGCTCCCACGACTTCCACGACTTGGCGCTCTGCTGTCCTGCTCAGACCAGTCGGAGTACTGGCCGACATGGTCGCCCTTGTAGCTGTCGGAATATCGTTGCGCTATCATATTATCCGCTTCATAAGGCTCTCTGAAAAGCGTCATATTTGTCTTCGAGCACGGAAACCATGCAAAAACTTTGGTTCAAACCATATTTATTAGTGTATTCTAAAGACCTACCGATACGGATCATAATCAGACGCACGGTAGTTTGTTCGCAACGGAATGACGGGCTCCCGTGGATGATACCCTGACGTTGATTGGTGCATCAACGCTGTCTCTGGGGTGATCCACTCTGGATTGGCAAAATCAGTAAAGGAAAGAGTGTACATCGGTCAAAAGCCACAGAGTTCCTTCAGTTCATGATCACCCCAGCAGCTGGCCAAGATACTCACCGATATCACTGTCTGTCTCACCGCCTCCATCAATAGATTGTAACTCAGACGAGAACGAGGACGCCATCGAGGACGACATCTGCAACTGGAACTCACATAGCAGAGTTCTCCACCACACTTCGTAAACATTGCAGTCATTTTCTTATATATCGCAAAAAAAAAAGCTTCACTGCAATTAGTTTCGTGGCTTGCGCATACCAATTGGAGATTTTGCACTCAGTTTCGTATTTGTGATCTGCCTGCCGCGTTCTCATATCTCTTCACACTTTATTTTTTTTTTATTTTTTCCGTTTAGACGTTTCAAAAAACTAAACAACTTATTCAAAAGTGAGTAAGTAAAAGGGAGTACTAGGGAGTAAAAGCCCCCTTATAAATTCATACATAGATTTGGGAGCTTATTTTGATTAGTTGAACAGAAAAACAGGAAAAAATGTTCATAATACAGCCACTTTGCTACTTTAGATCCATCTAACCCTACTGTGACTGTGAGAGGCCAGAAGTGTTGCACCTGTAAATATGCTCACCTCGATGTTTTGTGCTGCCTCGAACATGTTTTTAGTATGGCGTTCCTGCTCCTCACGTGGCATAGTTTCGACCGGAGAATGGTCCTCCCTACTGTAGAGGATATATGCGTTCAAATTTTGAATCACCTGAACAGGAACTTTTTAATGAAATCCATCAAGAACAGCGAGTAAACAAATTTTTATCGTTTTCTCAAAGACTTAGCCTAATTGACGACCTTCTAGATTCTTCAGTTGAGTGAACATGGACATACGTACCTTCATAGATTTCGTGCTGAAGTGAAGATTCCGCGGCCGGAGTGCGAGGAAGATCTCTTCGGAGACGAGAGTGCGACCGTGGCTGGCACTTTGCATGAGGATTCGAGCCCGTTCGACAGTTTCCCCCCAAAGTTCGTAGCGAGGTTGATCAGTGTCAGCAACCAAAGACAACGCGCTGCCGCAGTCCATCCCTGAATGCTCAGCTTAGAAAGTTCTCTGATGGCCGAAACCTTGCCAACAAAGTCTCTACAACGGATTCCAGAGACTAAGACCCCTGTTTTATTTTGTGCTTTGAAGGCAGATTACAATTACGTCAGATTATGGCTGTTTTCAGATATCCGAGGCGTATAGTCTATTGGTTGTTGAAACTCTGATAAGGGCACCTAAATCTAGCCTGAACGCACTGGAAGGCTTTTCTCTTCTTAGACAATCCCCAACTGGAAAGAGGGACCTATCGATGGCAAGGGTGGAGAAGGAGCTGTGATGAGGAAGGCGAAGGGGAAGACTGTTGTAAGCTTAGGCAAAATTCCATCTCGCTTAGGTTTTATCTGTCTACTCTTATCTGTTCCTTTTCACGGAATTTACATCTTTTAACTAGTACTCGTATGACCTTACATGCGCCAGTGTTAGGCAACAGCTTCGCTCCGAACCCACTTTTCTCACCCTTGGGATTACCCATTTCCATTGTTCCTAAGGATGTCGCTTTTGCAACTTGAAGTTGAGCCGGCAGCCGCCCTTGTCTAGCTTGCGATCTAGCATTCGCTGTAAGGAGTAGGCATGGAGCATAAGCTGTCGCGTGAGCAGCGGAGCAGTTAAAGTGGAAAAACGGTCAAGAGCTAGCTAGAAATCGTCACTCCGAAACTGGGGCACACATCTGATAATTTCGCGGAAGCTCCTGAGGAACCTCTCCCGCCTCCTCCCTATCTCCCTACACTTCTCCAGTCTAATTAGGCTCTTATGGTGTACAACTGTCACAAGGTCCCTTTCAGAGAAGGAGGGGCGGACTTACTAACAAGGCAAATCTTTCAGGAACCACAAACGCACGCTTCCTTCCATTACAGTCCACTAGTTTTCAGTAGTGCAGGACACAGCCCAATAACTTCAACAGTAGTGCAGGACACAGCCCAATAACTTCAACATCAACACACCTATTTGAACTTGGAATTCCTTCTCAGTTGCGAACTGGGTTGCTTGAAGCAGAAACTGCGCCAGTGTATGTAAAAGTTCACCAATCGTCCACGGGGTTTCGTTTACCTAAACAGAATTTTTCGAGCATGATCACAATGAAGTGCAATGATTGAAAGGAAAAGGCGCAAAAAAAGAACATTGTTTCGGTACGTCTCCGACCTAATCTTATCGAGTTTAGTTTTTCAGCGCCTGTGAAGCACTAACCGAATTAAACATTGAGAAATATTGCACGATTTGCTGTTGACATTTCTTTTGACTGCAAAATCAACGGTGCATTGAAGATTCCGAGGGGGCTGACAGCTTGGCTACCTCTTTGGATCTCCGATACGCGGTTGCTTCCGATTCCGTTAGATCGGGTTGTGGTTGTCCACCGGTGCAAGGAAAAATCTATCTGAAGACTCATTCTAGGCCTGGAGTGATCTGGAGCGTTACCCTACGCTCATGTAGCCATGAAATGTTCTCAGAAAAGTTTTTCCTGTGTGGCAGAACGAGAAAAATGAAAAGACCTCTGCGATGTCGTGAAAAATCCGGAACAATCACCAGCAAAACCAAGTAAAAGCGATTACAGCATCTCAGTTGGCCCGCGAGTTGGAGCTCTGCCATTTTGGCGTCCGACTACTTGCCCCTTGGACAGGTTAATAACGCCTTCACCATTCGTTGTATGCTGTAATCGATCCGAGAGAACTTTCGATTAATTCGTCGTTTGCTTATATTTCGAAAGTAATCGTTTCGAGAGCGAGAAGATGAGGTCAGGAAAATTCATCTGACCCTTCGCGCGCGAAGCTATGTCATCGCCTGCGACGTCTGCACGAGAGTTGTGGCATCACGTGGAGCACATCGTGCACATCAGGGAACTGGAATACTACTGCGCGACAGCGACTTACCTTCTAAACCGTCTTGCTGAAGAATGATGGATGAATTCTTCGGCACTGATCAATCCCGTTTCCGGGATATGCCCCGCGTACGACTTCCATTCAAAATCGTAATAGCGTTTCGAACATGTATATGCTCTACACAATGTTTTGCGGTAGTCCGCCGGTGTCAATTTAGAGATTCTATTTTTGCACCCGAATCTGCTGTCAAATAACCGATCTCAAAGATACAAGGCTTGATTGGCCTCGGTGATTGTCTATTCGGGATTCGAACACCGAACTTTCGTGTGGATAGTGCGTCACTCGTCACTGCACCACCACGGTCGGCCTGCTTTATGAAAACTTTGGATCTCCACTATACCCACAATGTCAGTGTGGTTCACTGACAATGTACTGGCATCAGCAGAATGAAAGACATGCATGAAAGACATCCGATACCAACAAGTACCACTTTTGAACCTACTCTAAACTTACTCATATTACATGTCTATGTTATGCTGAAAAGACCTACATTTTGAGCTGCATCTGGAAGTAATCCAACAGCTACAATGTAGAATCGATTCGCACTTTTGATTTTCTCAATCCCTCGGTAATTGCTGAGTTGCTGCAATCCGCTATTTGTTGTGATTGTGGTTACTCTCGCAAAAACTCGAAAATCGAACCTGATCAAAAGACGTGAACACATAATTCAATCCATTGAGACCTTGTTCATCTGCTAAATTGAACCCAGAAATCGTCATGTACGCCACGCCCACTGAAAAAATAATTGGATGCATTTGTTCGATCTACTCCAAATTCAAAGTAAAATAAACACTCATTCACTAAATATGAAATTTTTTTCTAAATTTACTGGTCAAATTTAATGATCAAGAAAAGGGGTTGCTTATCTCGCTAGCGTATCAGTTGTCAAGGACGCCAACAGGATCACCGCCACCGCAGATTGCCGTGCTCTGCGACCTTGTGCATACAGCAAGCTGCTCTCCTGACTCATACTGTACCAACTCCCTATCTCAAAACTTCATTCGACGTCTGGTGATTGCGGGACTTTGACACTTCAAAGCTTCACAAGGGGGAATTCGAGTTCATTCTAAGATATCCCCTAATGAGCGGGGAATTCTCGGTTCTGATGGACCCCCTTGTTCAGTTGTCATCGGTCACCAATAAGGGAGCCTCAGTTTAAATCCAAGAGAAATGCTGATACTTGAGTTTTACTCCCCATCCTTACGTTCATTTCATAGAGAGCTGTTAAACATTTCCATTATGCAGAGCAGACATCAAATAGTGTACATACCGGAGTGATGCGCGTGATGCCACTGCTCGCCGGTTTTTGCTACCACCCATGGAGCAACGTGGGGTGGTACCAGATTAAGAAGAACCTGGCTGTTCAGCAACAGAAAGCGATCCTTGGAAGAGGACTCTTCGACGCCCTGAAACTTTGATTTGGCTTTACGGAAAAAAGTTACGTCTGATCTTAGAATCAGTTGATAAACCCTGCGAAGGGTAATTTTGTTTGTCCCTCTAATGGAAACAAGCGATTCCAGATTTTCATTGCTTCGCTTCATCGATAAGAATTATAAAAGCATCAATCAAATGTTCTGCGATTGTCAAATCCAGAACATTTGCAGCCCTTGCTATGACTGATTCATATGGGCATTGCTCCCATGGGAATGTCACCACGACCAAGTTTGTTCCGTACATCTCATAATTCACTATAATAGCACTTGAAATATTGCGTTGTTTCCCAAGGCCATAAAGCAATGCCCTTATTGCGTGGAATACGATTCAGCTGGATATACAGCATAGGGAATTTTCAATGGAATAACTATGTAGGGGAGAAAGGTAATACGAAAAATTGGCATAGTTGAAGGTTTACTTGAGGAGAATGAAAAACCTGATGCTGGGCAGCAGCGTTGATCTTATCAACTTTACTATTCGATGTTTGGGCTAATTTTTCTGAAATTGTTTTCCTAATACAGAGATGGTTAGCTCCTTCCTCTCAGGGATGACTTGACTTTTATTTGACTCTATAGTTTGACTCCAAAGGGGAGTAACCATTCATTAATCGAGTCGAAAGCTTTCAGAGCTGATTAACCGGATCACCAAACTTCCCGGATATTGAACCGCTGAGGAACTTTGACTTTTCGAACATTAGTATCGCATTCATTTGGTTTGAACTCCTGTTTATAACTTATTTTCAGATTCTTTTTCATATTCTCCATTTTAAACGAATGGCGCTCGCATTGTGGGCCTGACACCTTGAAAACGTAAAATGAATTTTCCTCGGTTCTTCGCGCACTGGGCGATTCAAAGGCTTTTGTCCCATCGTCAGGAGCCAAAGGCTCAGCTTTAAAACACGTCGTAATCGTGCTGAGGGAGTCAAACTTTCTTGAAAGAAGAGTTTTACTAATACAACCCGCAAATAGAATTTGAGGGAAATCTACTCACACACACTCTTTTCAGAATTGAGTTGTGAAAGGTATATTTCGAGAGGACCAACCAGTTAGTCACGAGGAACCCCTTTCGTTTTCGTTTCTTTTCCTGGCACAAATATGAATCAAATCTTGTGGAGGTAAGCGTATTTATCATTTGCGGAACTAATTTAAGCTGATATGGTACTCGAAGGAGATACTCATCCCTACTTGATGTTGGAGCAGTGGATACTACTCGATTCAAGATAGATTATTTCAACTCAATGCGATTCTACTTTCTGAAACGTCCTCATAGCAACGCTTCCTTAAAAATGTAACCGACTTGCAGGAGTTGTTTTTATTACGGAATATCCCTCACAATGCTCATGGGCATAATCGTTACTACTCTCATATCCCTACGGCAATTTTCGGGCCCTCGTAAGTGAAAGCCGAGTGGCTCTCAGAATTACGAGCCGACGAAAATACACATCTCGATGACGGCAGCTGTAAAGTCTTGCTCACTACGTCGGTGGCCACATAAAACAGGGTGTGACCACGGCGGCTACTGACCTCAGCAGCCCTAAGAGCGTTTGCCGACAAACGCGAAAACGGCCAATGATTCGCATTACGAAGGCCGACAGACGGGTACATGTGGTTTTTCCAGCTGGGAACAGTCACAGGGTATTTTGTAGGAAATGAAGAACGACTGATTGTGAGACTGGAACCACTGAACCATCTAAACCTTTTACAAAACAATGTTGCTCAGAAAGGCGGTCAGTTATAAGGTTGCCATCGGGAAGATATATTCGTAATGCGGGAAGAGACACATTGCACTCAGGGATTTCGCCCTTTTCCTTGATAGCATTTTTCTCTTTCAGAAATGTGTGGGAAAGTAGCTTCTCATGGATGTATGAATTGTAAGCTGTGTAATGTGTACTTTTCAATCTTGTAACTTGTCGTTATGATTAACAGCAACACTCGTCGCCAAAATGTTACATCCATTAAGAGGCACAGCTGTTGAGAAAGGAATTTCTGTCAAGAATGCCGGCGACTTCTTTATTGGAACTCTGCTTGGAGGAATAACGCTGTTTGTCGTCTTTTCAGCGTCTGGGAACTCCCAAGTAATCATTCCCACGGAACTCCAACATCTCTTGGATGCCTCTTCATGTCCCATATGGTCTTTACATTGGCAAACTGCTTTGTCACATTAGGACGATTTACTTTCAACGACTAATTATAAGTCGGCCAACATTGACCAGTCCCTCATTAGATGCGCCACGCATTTAACTCCTACACGGATTGGTGATAGTGCGAACTCCTTCTGGGATGTATTTGTATACCAGCGACCTTGTAGTTCCATACAAATTTTGATCCATGAAACGCAACATTTAAAAAGTAACAGCATTTATGCCAACAAACTCACCTTAACAACGGACAGAAAGTCGAGCCTCATAAGTTTTTCGCATCTTCTTGCATGTAGAAAGACAAGAGCGGCTAACGAAGATAAACCGACCCAGAGATCAAATTCAATGGTAAACCTGAAATACAAAACGCCCTCAATGTTCTTATTTCACAAATTTGGCATGAATATCACAAATCCTAGATCCACTTCGCATCTAACTTCATCAAAATCGCCGGCGCTACCATTTCCCTCCCCCTCTCATGCAAAACAATATATCACTTTGAAAAGTCACAATTCTGGAGCAATCGATGGCTGTAGTTTTCGCATTTTTCGCCAATTTTTCATTGATGTACAATCCCCACACAACAATTGTAGCGTTGTAAAAAAATAAGCGTTGTGTGCGTGATAAATGGCGAACAATCCTCCGTGCACAATGGCAGCGGCTGTCCAGTGAATAATTGAGTGGAGGTGGGGTAAGAATAGATGGGTGATATTGATAAGTTCATCGGATGTGGGAGCTGAAAGGCTTTCGTACAGGAGAACAGAAATCAATGCGAATAAAACCATGATTAGCCCTTCAACCCATCGGGAAGAAAGACAAAAATGTGGTAAAGAGTTCGAGAGAGTACTCCTTGTTGACCCTTCTGTTGAGGATTTGTACTGGGCCTCTATTCAGAAACCTATTGGCATTTGAATGCTCAATAGTGATTTTCAGGGTCTACACCATCTACAAATTAGCATCCCCCGAAACGATCTTGGTACTATCCATACCTTCGACCTGGTTTCGGCCCGATCCGAGATTTTATTTCTAGACCATGGAACATGGGAGAATGATCCACTTAATACTGCGTTATCCTGTTCAAATTTAGCGACAATAGATAGGGAACAAAAAAGGTCCCTGAACCTTTTTGCCTAAGTTAATTAAATATTTATTAATAGAACTCTTCGAAATCAAGAGGTGGACCACGCGCTTTTCGACACTAGTTGCCAGTTTCTTTGACTGGCACCATTCGGGAAAGCTGTATGTCGTTGTTTTCTTTCAGATCAGGTACCTCTTTATATCCCCATACGCGAACTTCCCCTAAGCGAGTTAAGCAATCAACATCTCCACAGTTCTTGGTTCCCAGTGAGTCGCCGGAACGCTGACAATGGGAGGAAAAATGGCTAGCCGTTTGTTTGCAAAATTTATTAAAAAAAGTGACAAGCAGAAGAGTCGGTTTATACCCAGCAGTAGAATTATACCAGAGATTTTTCTGAGCTTTTCAGAATTCTGGGTTTCGAACCCAAAGGTTCCAATGTTGACATATCCAGGGAATCCTTTCTAGAACTAGAAAAATCAAAACCTCCCTAAGATTGAATGGAGAGAAATCTGGCAAAGGTATGCATTCCGACGACTTTCAAACAAACTACTAGCCCGCTTTTTTGCCTATTCAGCTCTTCAGAATAAGGGAAAAAAGTAAAAAGTGTGCTATGTAACGAATACGACTTACTCTTTTGGCCCAATAGGTGGATGTGTGAGAAAGATCTGAATGGTGTAGATGAAAACAGCAAACGTGAGCACTCCGAGGAGGTAGACGGACGAGAATCTTATGAAGACCGCCGTTGTCAGAATCCACATTGCAAACGAGAACGCTGAGAAGTGAATCGACTGACATACGTCGGCTTGCTCCGGTTGTGGACATGAGAACTGAAGAGATACATTTTATTTTTTCATAAGAGAATCATATTTTAATATTAACGGTTATGAGTTAAAAAATCTCTGAAAAGAAATGAGATAGTGAAGGTTCACTGGAACCGCTTCCGAAACAATCATGAAAGCGAGATTGACTAGTGGCAAACGGCGAGCTATCATGCATAAGGTTACGAGCCAAATCCCGCCTGTCGGCGAAGCCTTCCATTACTCCGGGGTAGGAAAAAAGCATTGACTTGTATATCGACAGACCTATGCAAGCCATTGCGGGTCACATACATACAGGTTCAGACGTCACTACATTGCTTGATCGAAGTTGGTTTCCCTGGATATAGATATATCCCTTATACGGGAGTGATCAACGCAGACAAACCTCAGTCCTTTGCCTTTGATGATTTCGGGGCTATTGCTAAAAGGGGAGCGTCTTTGAGCAGGGTAATGTGGCAGTAACTATTTGCGTCCATGCAGGATGGGCTTTGGTAGCGGAAAAAGTTTTATTTGACAGCATCCCATAATTTTGGCTCACAACATTCGTGCTCTATCCCCCTGGAGGCTGTGTGCAGCGCGCTAGGGGGAAGAGAGAGGAAGAGAGAAGGACTGTACTGCAGCATTCTCGAATTACAGGCGAAGGCTGTTCTGCATGTCCAATTTGTCCAGATACCTAACACCCCGAATACGCCACACTTAATAAACCCAATCAGCTGAACGCTGTTTCACAGAAAACTTCAAGAACTTTATTTTCAGGGCTAACTAGGCTCATGCCTATGTAAATTCTATTTTAAAAAAAGCGACCCTTGAACAGTTCATCGAACTTTTGTCTAATGAAGAGGTATACTTCAAAATTTAAAAAACAGGAATTAGAAAAAGCGGAACCGGAGATTCAATGAAAACAATTGTCAAGAAGGCCATACCGTGTTGACGATTCCGCAAAGGAACAGCATTGTCATTATGAGAAGAATAGTTAAGGAGTGTCCGTGAGCGGTGCGTGTAATGAATTGTGAAAAACTCTGAAATAACAATAGAGATAGCCTAAGCACTCTGCAGCCTAACTGGCTCCGAGGGGTATAGTGGTGGTCTTGACCAATAACTCATTTTCTCGCTCCTTTAACTCCCTTCTAAGATGACTGCATATGCGAATATACCATCACTGACTCAACCGAAACTCGACTCAAAAAATTAGAAGCTCGCAAGTGGGCCTTTCTAGGTATGTCGTCCACTATCATGTCAGGAGTTTCACCTCAGTCACCAGGAAGGAGCTGAAGACAACGGTTAATAAGGTTTATCTGTGGTCGAGCTTTTGTCCAAAGGTGTAACCCTTGACTTTTCAACCCTGCCACCCTTAGACAAAAATTTCGAGCACAATAACTCTTATTACAACCATCCCTCTCCGAAACGGTCTTTTGCGATGAAAACTACTTGGAGAACTCACATGGAAGTAATTGATATAGAGCATCAACAAAATGAAGAACATCAGTGTCAACGCAACAACAATTAACGCTAGACTGGTGATCAGCCTGAAAGAGTGAGAAATTCCGAGGAGATCTGTCAAAATCTGGAACTATGGGAAAACTATAAACACCCACCTTGGCATCACCAACATGTGGTAGATGCCGTAGACGACTAAGAAAAAAATGCTGATCGCCAGTGCTGGAATGAACCAGTGGTCCATTTCTTTGTGGAACTAAAATACATCAGTAGAACTTCTAGGCTACCTGATGATTTCACGGATAGATAAACCAAAAAATCAAATCCATTGATAATAAGCAACGGGGAAAGCTTGGGATCATCGAACGAATGAACTCACTTCAGTCTCCAGGCGAATGTTTTTGAATTGGAGTGAGACCGAGTTCATGAAACTGCCTTTGTCAGAAGGATGCTTCTCTTCAATTTCATCCTGCAGTTTTGCTTTCCTAAAACTCTTACAACCATTTGAGGTTTATGAGGCCTGACAAAATAAATATATAAATATTTGACACATGACAACTATTCAAAAAAAAAGAAGCGCTTAGTAAAGGTTAGATAAAAAGTAAAATTTTCAAAGGAAAATCAGCTCTCTTCCTAGTGCAAGGGATTTTCAACTGATTTTCTCAAGCGATTTTTTAGTGTTGTTTCTACATTCCCGATACGTTGCGTCAACAAGGTTTTCCTGTGCACATGAGACGGATTGGTACCTGATGCTCCTTTCACGTTAAACGGAACGAATATCTCCGAATGCTCTAGCTATGNAGGAAGGCCGCCGACGAGATGGTCAGACTTCTTCACGAAAGCTCTGAACGAAAGGAATGTTGAACCTCGTGTCCCTGAAGCGAGAACGGTTCACTGGACCACTTTGGCTCGTGACAGGGACGAATGGAGACGTTACTGGCGCCCGCTCGAGGATTTCGATGATCAACGGGACGACAGGTGATACAGGTGATGAGGCGGTTTATCAACTTTCATCTATTTTTCATCCCTGTCATCACCTCTTTTCGCCGTCGGCCCCACGTTCGATTTGATAATAAATAAATGAGTAAATGAATGAATGAATGAGTAAACAAACAAACATATTAATCAGTTAAAAAAAGACGCTGCTTACCTTTTCTTGGTGGTGCCGATCGTTTTTACATGAGGATCGATCGTGGAGAGTGTTTGCAGGAGGCGGTTGATTCCTTGAGGAACAGTCACCATTGAAAATCTGAATGCTTCCTACTTTACATCAAGTCTAACAAACAAAAACACAACAAACAATGCTCCCATAGCTATTTTCTGTTTGGAAATGATGCCCTGTTAGTGGTAAGGGAAAGGTGATGCAGTGGCACACACATGGTACGCGGATCAAGTCTCATATCAATCACGGTCTGGGCTCCTATTCTTGCGGTACCACAAATCCGAAGGAAGTGAAATGCGGAGCCGCGCCGCAACCCACATGGGATTGAGACGGTCGAAAGCTTCTTTCGAAAGCTTNCAAAACTCTATCTAATCTTCTTGAGTAGGGTAAATAATTCATGTAAAACTGCAATACTTTTTTTCAGAATGCCCGTCTTGGTCTCACAAGACTTTTTTCCTCATTGCTTTTCCTTTACTGTTTGTGCTGGCTCCTTTGGCAGAAATTTATCTTGCCAAGGGTAGAAACTGTTTGGTTCTCTAAGGTAAAAGAGTTGCTGCTGTAAGAAACGTGAAATTGAATCCTACTCCGAATTGGGAACTAAGCAATTTCCCAGGAAACCGTGGTCAGTATTGGATCGAACAGCTTGAGATCAATCAAAAGTAAGTGGTGCCCTTTTCTGCTGAATTGCCTTATCCTCTTCCATGTTATACGCCAAGCCAAACACATTCCCTACCGCCACCGAACTTTGTGCCATGCTAAGGGCTTTCAGTACAGTGAAGGTTCGTTTTCAAGTATTTCTTCTACAGAGTTCGACAAGAAGCCACCGAAAATGAAGAAAACCCAGGTTTGTCTCTTTTATGAACTTCATTGTGTTCCCTTCTTCAAAAATACGTGAGATAATTCAACTGGTTCATCAGATAGACAACAGCGCAACTTCAGGCTCAGATGAGAGGGATAACGCCGAAACGTCAGCCAAAAATCTTTTTGTTGTCAATCACGCTTGCCAGTCAAATCAGAGCTGGAATCTATTTTTTTTTTCACAGAATTGTGACGGATAGCATATTCAGCACTGCCAACTCCATGGGAACTTAAGTGAGGTCTCAGTTAAAGGAACCACTAGAGGCACAACATTGTAGCCATGACAGGCTGTATGACTAAACAGTTCAAGGATATAAAACTTTTGTACTCCATAGTATGCCAATGACGAAAAAAACTCAATAAAAAGTGCAGGGAACCAGGATTCCTTAGTTCTCCTTCGATCTAACTTGGATTCACTCGATTCCAGTCGAAATGTTCTTTGCTAGAAAAAGGCTGCTTACCTTTTATTAACAGGGAACAATTCAGGACCAGTTGTATCTCCACGAACTCGCCATATATCACCAATACTTTCGAGGTTGAAATGGTTTTCGACATGACGACGAGTTTCTTCTGTGATGAACACTCCACTAAAACTGGTAAATTGTCAGAAAGTAGAGAACGGATTTAAAGGCTATCACTTAGCGAGTATTTTGCTTGAATATCAGATAGACTTGTGCGCTCATACAATATAAAGCTTAACTGGTATTTTCTGATTCACTTACTGCTTTGGAGCACTGCTTTGTAGTAGAATAGCGTTGTCTACAGTATATCCAATGACATCATAATGCCATTTTGTCGATCCAACAATACCAGCTGATATCGATCCGCTATCGATTCCTATGCAAACTGCTACATCGGCCGTGGTGGCATCGCGAAATGAGCTGAAATACTCACTTTCTGCCATTAGATGTCGATAAAAAACAGGAGAATTTGCCCAGACATTGTACATCAGGTGGCCGAAGCATATCCCTGACATACTGGTGGGTAGGTATTTTTGTCAGGTAATTATAACATCTCTACCCATTCGCCAGCTACCACCGAAATTTCGAAATTGAAACAGGTTGGCACGGTAGTCCGTATACATAAACGAGTATTCAAAATTTCTATTTTCGGGACTCTAAATCACCGAACTTTGAATGGTTATGGTTATTTGAAAAACACCCCTAATTGGATGTTTTCAGAGCTGGGGTAGAGGCATAAGGTGCTCGGAAAAGTGATGAAACTATGTACTTTGCCTGCCCGAAAACATTGTAAAAACGAAATGCATATTCAAACAACACTACGAATCTCGATAGAAATCGAATTTGTAGCGTATTCCTAAAAAGGATTGATCAGGACTACCGTCAGGATTTACAGACTGATAGCAGAAGCTCACCTAACAAGCGCCTCGAGTTGTGTAGCAAATCGAACCACATTCAAGGCATGGCAAGGATCAATCGTGGGTATAGATGACACCACCTGTATACATTTTGTGATACAGCAAAAGAGGAAATTCTAAAAAACCCAGAAACTCTTACCGTAATACCCTCGGAAGCAACTTTTGTACAACCATTGATATCACATAATCGATCGATTCGTTGCTCAAATTCCTAGAAAGTAAACCGATACAAATCTTGTAGGAAAGGCTGTCGTAGGGATGCAAACCTTCAGGACTCGTGCTGCATCTAATGAGGAACATTGCGATAGAACAGCTTCCAAACCGATCAAACGACCATATGCTACCGTAACCTGAACAAATTGACCTCAAACGAGAGCTAGGGGAAATATGAATTCTGTTTTGGCAGATTTTCAAAGAAAATAGTTCTTTGAACAGATGGGTTCGCTTAATAGCTCCTTTGAATGGTGCTCGGGAGTTTCGATTGAGGGTTTCGAGTCCCGCTTAGATAGGGAGTTCACGTACTCGGAAATCAAGCAATATCTAGAAATTTTAACATTTTTTCATCCTTGAAGTTTAGTTCCACTGGTAGGTGAACAAAAGGTGTTGCACAAGTTATCTAGGCGAAGTTTCTTTCTGATAACTAATCCAAACCCGGATCAATATTTGATTTTTGGCTTTCCAACACTTTCCAGACTATTCCTAAAAAAAAAATATATTTCTTAGCATACTTGTGGATAGTGTTCAGCAAAGATGTGAGGATTGTTGGTGGCGATTTGAAGTCGTGCTGCAGTGATGAGATGCTGGGGCAAAAAAGCGGCAAGAAGGCGATTCTGGAAAGCAAAACTTTAACAATACTTACATGCTGAGTGGGTTTCCTAAGATATATGTTAAGATGAAAGGAATCCATTCGGTGGAAGACTTGTTCCCTACTACTCCAGTGGGATTCCTATCGTCGCGATGCAGTTCCTTATCCGTTTATGCGTGGAAACCGAATTTGGTTCCTCATTCACTACGGCTAAACGAGAAAACGAACACTGCTCGAATACTCTTTTTGACAACTTCGTCAAGTTCTTTTAAAGTATACAGAGGCTAGAAACCATGACGCGCCTTATGAATAGTCGCCTGAGTTAGTATTATTCGTGATATAAAAACCAACTCAAGGGGTACATGGTGTAAGCCCCTGTCCTCGTACGTCTTTTAACTAGCTGTCTCTTCGGGTCGTGCCGTTCGGGACTTCAGGAACTCAATAAGCAGGACACTCATCATAAGGCTCTGCCAGTCGCAACGTGAGGCTCATCGCAATGACTTTACTGCACGCGGAATTCGAGACCCGACCTTCTCGTGCTCGTATCCCAAATGTACCATGGAAAGACTACAATGGTTAGGTTGATGATTAAGACCTGATTCACACATACACACCAGGTGATCGATTAGAACACTAGTGGGAATGGTATTTTTTCTCATCGTAGTCCCATTACTGCCACTGATTGATGGCATCGTACGTGACCATAACTCATTGCTGACTAACACGATGTGAATCCTACTACAAGCCGCCAGAGTGGGTTGTTGTCAGCAAAGAACAAGTTTTGTAAACAAGTCGTTATCTAGCCTATAATTCATCTACTCTAATGACCAATGAAATGATTTTATTGCCGTACTGCAAAGCAATTTGTAAAGGTGTCTTTGGCTTTCGAAATCAACTTGAGCTCGGTACATTTGAACATCCATCTGATCCAACTTCCTTCAGACCTATGAATTGGGCTTGGATATACAGTCTTAAGAGGAAGTAGTCTCGAAGGTAACAAACATATGTAGATGAACTCAAAAATTCGAAAAAGTTGCACATTTCAACGTTGGAGTGGAGTAAAATGCCCTATGAGTTGGTTAAACCACTAGGATGAATACTAATTGTCTTCTGTTCCAAAGTGCTAACGGTGCACATGGGTCGTCAAGTGAGGGAATCTGGGGGAAGATATCCGGGTGCCGTGCTACAGGCTGCTGCGATACGGTAAAGTACGTAACAGGATCATTCATATGGGTTAGTTTGGATTAGTGTAGAAGGTTCACTATGGGAACAGGAAACACATATTGGAAAAGATACTACGATCGCTACAGTCAGATTCCTCTAGGAAGTGTTCGTCTCGAGTTATACTCGGAGTGAATCGGTGTAGGTGAAGCAGTACTTCCAATAGATCCTCTACCACACCTAAAATGATTTCCCCCATGCCAGGCAGGCCGTCACTGCGGCATTGCTAGATCGGCACCGGACCCTCCTCAAAGCGGAGAATCAATGTTCATATGGGCTATCCCTGTACGTCCCTGTGAAAATCCGATTCCTACCCAAATATCATTCCAATTGGATGGAATACGAACAAAGTAAGAGCATCCTGAATGGTTTAGATCACTGACGAGCAAAACAATGTTTTTCTGTGCTAGTCACAGTTACTTGAAAAAAAATACAAGTACCTCATTCTCCCATTCATACGAATAAATTACCAACTGAATGACTACTTTTTCTGCTTGGGTGGAGTTTGATTCATGACGTTCCTTTGATGCGAACCCGGTTTTCCGCACTTTTTTCATTCATTATTACGGTCCAGCAATCTTCGCAAGGTTGCAAAACACCAGTGCCGTGTCGTTTGAACTACCATCGGCCACCACACCTGCGCCACAGCAGCATGCCCATCAAAAGGAGCCTTTTGCGTGACTAATAACCAAAAAGTTATATCATTGTGAGGAAACAGGTACCCATTTAGCGCTATTCAGTTCTTCCTTAAACATTTTGGAACTGTTTTTGTCCCTCACGCCAGGAATGCGACGGATCAAGTGGTGTTTGCTTGAGTCTCCTTCGGTGACACCGTGTCAAGTGCGGCACGCAACTTGGTCAATATGGACCGTGTCCGGACGATTACGCCACTTCTATTCAACACTTCTTTGAGTAGTTCGATGAAAAGCTATAACAGCTTCAGTAGGCAGAGACCACAATTCTTATATGGTCGATTCGGTTCATCGAATAGATCGCTCTACAAATTCTTCTTGGAATTGGGTTCACTGAGACAGTCTTTTAGTCTAGAAACTTTTACTGAGACTTTATAGACAGTGACTGAACTTTGGAGGAGGAACTCAACCATTTGGATGGCTCTCGTTATCATCCACCGAGGATATCAAGTAGCATTCAAGTACACGATTTCAAAGAGTTCTCGCAGTGCTTGGCTCAAGGGAAACCTGATAATGGGGCTAGTAACGCAGCCGTTCCAGAGCAGTACACTACTTGTTACTACGTATTATTTCACCAATCTGAGGCGTTTATCGACAAGTTTTTCCATTGAATTTCATAAGCCTAAACTAATTCAAGTTAAATACTTGGCTACTAAATTTTCAGAGGTCCCGGCGGAATCCCATTGCTGTCATTTCGTTAAGAATCGAAGATCCAAAACGGAGATATTAGTCAAGTCCAAACATAGCGGTTCCATCAATCATATTTTAAGACAGCGAGGTCACAACCACAAGTCCCGCCCATATCTCGAATCCAAAACGAGCCACCCATCCCCTAGTACTGACGGAAACACTGGGAAAAATTGTGATCTCCACCTATAGTTCACACCAAGGACATGAAGAAGAAGAAAATGAGCGGGAAAGCAGGGAAACCACGCTTAGTGAAAACCCTCCATGACCAGCTACATTGGCATCTTCTTTGGAAAATATCTAGAAGGCTGCATTGCACTGAATACCAATTTTTCAAGGCCAAACTCAGGAAGTCAGCAAGAAAGACAAAAAAGTCAAATGGAAATAGAATCCAGTAACCGGCCGAATCTAACGAATGGCAAGAAAGAAGGACCCATTATCAATATAGGATTTTCGTATTACCCGTTTTCGCTTGGTGTTAGAGGATTTCTATAACCGAAAAGAGCGCTTCCCATGATTTTTTCCCTATGGGTTTTGATGTTGAGTCAAACCAGTTGAACGATGTTCTCGTTCTGATCTTTACGCCACGAACACATCACTATTCCTTTGAACTCGAAGGTGTTCTAAGGGACCTAAGGCCAAGCAGTAACAGAGACACCTGCTCTCTTGTGTGTCTGACCATGACAAATCTTTTCTTCAGTTACTCCAAACTCATCTTTTGATCACGGCTTTTTTTAGTGCGCCTGTCATACGACGGGTTCTCTTTGGTCATCCCTATTTCCTTTTTCCACTGTGTACGGTTACTGTGCCACAAAATCCGCAGACTACCAAATCTGCCTTACTAAGAATTTCTTCAACCAAGAAAAAAGGTATTCCACTTCAAAACTTGGCAGCTATCCACTTCCAAGCACCCCTTCCCCCTGCCCCACTCAAACTCCCATCTGACACTATCTGTCATCATCATCATGATTGCAGATCCACTTGGAACAAAAGAGTTCAGGAGAAAAGTTCAAACGGAAAGGGCTAACTGCCACTATGACACATTAGAAAACAAGTTTCTCTCAATGATTCATAAATAGCAAAGTTTTGCGTCGAAATAAGTCGCTTCGCACCATTGCGTCATTTAGGAACTCCTTAACATCAAAGTTTTTCAATCTTCTGCGAAGATATATGACGATTTTTCCTGGGCACTTGGCCAAGGCTGTTGAATCTGAACGAGGACGATCGAGTTCTACTTAAACCCTGCGAAGCGACGATCCTACGGAATAGAATGCCAAATACATGTGTAAAAGATTGATACCTACTACATACTCGGTTTGAGCACCAAAGGTCATAGACTGCTATTTCGACAAGAGAGCGCAGACGGAAGCAGAAAAAGTAGGTATCCCCGGGAGTAAATGCAAAATCCCATCAAACAATTGTTCCCATTCATGCCCTTATCTTTGGATATGGAAAAAGATAAGTGGTGAGAAGCCTCAAGGTAAGACAGATGTTTGTTCTCCATGTTTCCCTTCCGATTTTTCCAATGCTAGGGAATGGTCATAAATTCGAATTAGTCAGGTCACAATTTATCTGCTTCGGCTAGAGAGCGGTCATAAAACCTATCAAAGTAAAGAGTTCGGTCATATTTTTCTACCAAAAGTAGCTAATCCCGCTGAGTAAAAACCGTATGAACTGACCAATCGGTTACTCTGATGTTCAGCGGCATGTTCGGCTTCAACGGCATTTCGTCCACTGAGAAATGCGGAACGAGTGAGTCGATCCACCGACAAATGCAGGTAGAGGCCAAGAAAATGACACCACACATGCACGACGACTGTGGCCAATAGCTGAAAATACTCACATGGATTGAGACTTCGAAGAACAGAAAAAAAGAAAAACTGCATCATTCAAGAGCATTCGATGCTATTTGTGCGAGAAAAATCGAATTTGTAGACGTTGTTATACTGGCTTCTGAGAATCCTCACGCATTCGACTCCATTCAGAATGATAGTTAGTGATATTCAAACATTTGGACCAGGCTTTGAATTGTTACCTCCAGCGACCACTAGCTAACAGACCCCCTAATAAGTTTTGCCAGTTTTGGGTCAAGAATTTTATCCCTGAACCTCATATATGCGATGACCACGCCCTTGAACATACCCTCTTTGGGCCTGAACTCATTACCCTATCCTATTTGTCATTTGTACCGCTCCTTTAATTGACCGAGAAATTAGAAATAGTCTTGGACGTATTGGCCCTCGTGGAGTCATCAGTTATACACGCGACATGCAAACATTTTTTGCTGGTCCGAAACCAGATTACGGTTTACCAGCCAAAGCAATTGATCATGGAGTCACAAAGAGATGAAAAATGTCCATTGGGCCATTTTTTAACGGAAAAAGGCATATAAAGACCTTCTTAAAGAAGGGGGTTTTGTCCAGCGCAGTGGTTCCTGGCAATCAGAGTTGTGGGCCTGAATTCAGCAATTCCAAAACTCTTCCTGCATGGTTTTCCCCTAGGTGCGCAAATTTTCTTCTGGAGGAAGGACAAGTCACTTTATATAAAGCCTTTAAAAGTCTCCTCGAATATTTTGTATAACCCAAATCTATATATTCTTGTCAAATATATTGTACTTTTTTATGCGAAAAAAACCGCTCAGTAGTTCAGCTTTCACTAAAAATCAATGGTTCCCACTCAAATATAGAAATTTCATTCCCTAAAGGATTCAGGATCGCTTGGCGTGTGAATGCGCACTTTGCCCACAAAATTAATTGCAGGAGTAGGCCAACGTATAAGCCAGCACTTTTATCCTCCCACACAAGCCTGGTGCCAATGAGCCAAGCACTTGCTCGTAGCGACACCAGCCTCATCTTCGCCCTTTCATTCTTCACTCCCGTAGAGCCGCTCTTCAATCTATAAATCATGGCTTTGTATCCTAGTGGTTTTGAGCGTCTAGATAAACCGTGAGATCTGAGCTTTGAGAAAGTCGTACATCGAGTATTGCTTGGAGTTTTTTTTCGTTTTTGCAGACTACACCTACGATCTGTTGTCTGCAGTAACCCGTGCTTTAACATAATATGTTACACTGTTCTACGTTTGCACTAGCCAGGTGGCGTAATCGAGAGTGCAGTGGAGTGAAATTGTTCGAGCAACTCATAAGAAAAGCCTCGTAAAATTACGACTTTTCTCTTACGAGTCCTTTTGCACTTTGTAGTTTTCACTTCATTATCCTTCACAGATAGGAATAACCACCCTGGAAAAGAACCACTCAAAAGATTTGAAGCTAATCATCGAAACGAAAGTGAAGTTTTCCTGACACGAATTTGAAAAGAATAAAGCAGAAGGAAATTTGAAATAGTGATGGAACGTTTTGAAGAAAAATGACCGATTAGTCATCCTTCCCGTATCCTTTCTTGAGAATCGCAATGACGTTTGACTGCATCTGAATCCTTAGGCAATCTCAGGTTGCGCGTTATAAGCAGAACGCTCAGCCCCACATAGGACTAAACGTCGTATCTGTGCCCAGGAAACGATTTGCAAGAAAGGATGGTTAACAAATCAATGTTTTCATTCCCGGATTCCTGCATCCTTTGTCTGCCTTTGAGGAATGTACCACCCGATTACCCTAACCGACGGGTTTTTGCCTGGAATTTGATTCTCAAACCATTTCCGCCGGGAATATGCACTTGATCGAGTAAAGAGGCAATCAACAATTCAAAAAACGTAGTAGGGCAACAACAATGAGAGGAAGAAGAAAAAGAAGAAAAGATTCGATTTACAAACAAAATTTGCGCTTGTGATGCCTTTTCGCACTAACCCCACTTGAGGAGTAGAAGTTCGAGAAAAGAGAAAAACCTAAATCTCACTTTGATCCAGCCAAATATCAGAAAACTTATAGGAAAAGGAGTTCCTGAGACGCTTCTCATTCCCAACTTAAATGCATGCGATAATCACCCTAAATATTTACTTTTTTCAAATATAGAGGACTTAGAAATAATGATTTTCAGCCTTGGTAAGTCAAACTAAGAGCGGGCTATCTGCAAAGGAAATCGGACTAGCATTTTAAAGGAAACTCCCATCAATCAGGGAAATATAAGCATATTCGTCCGGTCTTCTTACTTGCTAGACGCTACTGGTTGGCTTTTTTCATTAAATTCTTGTATACATAGTTCCCTTACCTCCCTCCCTATGGCTAGGGACACGTCCACCGCACTCTGTGTTGAATCACACCTGAGCGGTACAAAAACTTATTACACTAGTAGTTCTTTAAATAGGTGCAAATAGAGCTGTCCATTTCATTAGTGACCAACTGACTTCGAAAAAAAAAAAAACTACTGCGTCGGCTACTTAACGACCAGAGTATTCCCACTCATTTTTCATACTCCTTTCCAACTTACGCCAGTTGTTACGAGAAAATCGAGGTAAAACGTCGGTTAACTATGATTCTATCCCCTTCCACACATGCTCGTAAATTTTTCCACGAAATGAACTTCCTTCCCGTACACTCAGCTATCGATTGACGGTTTCCATTTAGCCACGTAACTGGTGGTATCCGGGCAATAAATAATTGCAGAACCATTCCACGACTACAGCCCTCCAACAGACGACTCAAAAATGGCCTCCAGATGAAAGCAAGAGTTTCGTCGAACGGCCAGTCTCCAGGTTTAGCGCTACCGGTTTAGTATTTGATCCGATAATAGAAAAATGACTCGTAAGCATACGCGTTGGAAAAAACCCGCATAAGTCAAACTGAAGGCGATTTCAATTCTCACATTACATTTGTGACAATTGCGCAGCAAGGGAAACTTAAGAAAACTCAGCAGTGTCTACTATGACTACGTATTTTCGAAGTTTTCTCAAAACTTTCATCGGTACGCACTTACCGATTATTTATTAAAAGGAGGCCGAGTGTCCGCGCAAGAGAGTCCAATGCATCAGGCCCTGAATTCATCGTGGAAAGGTTCCCTGATGGCCTTCCTAGGGCCTGTGACAAAAGCGGAAATTCATCTGCTCAGTCTACCACTCTCACACCCAAGATTTTCGTGGCGACTACTGTCAGCAAAACAAACTGCTCCCCCCGGCTTTATCCAGAATATTTGAATCTTTCCGTCTTCCTACGAAAGCCCCCATCACTATGCCTTTCTTATTTCATGGTGAAAGGAACTAGTTGAAAGGGTACCATAGGGCTTTTGCCCTTTCGACATTGTATAGTCGCAACATTATTCCATACACAATGAAAACAACGTTCTGATTATTCCAATATGCCGCACCATTTCAGAAACGAATGTCGCCATTGCATTCTCGGAAAACACCTCTTTTTATTATTCGAAGCACATCCAAGCTTTTAAATTCTGATGGGGGAATTTGAGAAAACCCTCATGCAGCATGGGAAAGCAAACTCATTAGTCTCACTGGTCAGCAGTAGTTCCCAGCTAGAACTAATTAGATTTTTAAAGAGACAAAGCGTGGCTGCTTGGAACCGTGTCCAATTTCAAAGTTCAACTAAAGTCGACAACGAAACAAACCATAAATGGGAATTAAACTTTATACGAAAAAAAAGGCATGAGACAGGAAGCGCCACGCGACGTCGCGCGAAAAAGGTACATACATACAGTGTCCAGTGAAACTCGTCTACAACCGCAACATCATAGACTTATCCAGGGGGGGAATTGTAACACGGTAAAATGCCAGCCATCTCAGCTCAAAGTCGATAAGCTAATCAGAAAAAGTCACCATCTGCATCCTCTGTTGCAATATTAATGATGGGTCCTGGACAAAACCCAAAACTTCATGGAGCACATGACATTTGGGTAAAGAAAAGGTGGCATGAAGGGAACCAAAGGAAGAAGAAACTTGGAGTAAAAATGCTCAGTTATTACTAACTATTAGCTTGAAGGCTTCGATCAGGGCTTCGCAGATGGATATAAGAATTTCCTCGAGAGCTAATATTTGGGAGTCCCGATAATTTCAAGGGTTTTTACAGTCCCACAGCAGTTGTACCAGACGACGCCCGACTCTTGAACAGTTCCTTTTTCCTAGATCATGACCTTAATATAGCGTGATAAGGTCAGTGACCTCTGTACTTTTTCGGAACTCTCAGAAAGACGCATCACCCGAAACAGGTTCACCACCGCTAAGATGATGATTGATCGATATGCACAGATGTCATTCTGATTGATTAACTTCGTAGTAGGCTGGCGGCAGTTACTGCACTGAGATTAATGGTCCTATGCAAACAGAACATTGTTTCTTCTCACTGCTAAAATGCATTAGATCGATTTCAGCCCGCTACTGTTCACATCTGGTACCCTTCCCGCAGTTCATGGTAAAGGGTTCTTGAATAGGGAGAAAGGGGTGAGGGGAAAGCTTCTTTAGGGACAATGACTACACCGGCACACAAGTGGAGTCTATCGTCACCAAATCAAATGATCCCAGAAAAATAATTTTTGTGGAGAGACACACTTGGAAGAAAATTCCCTGAGGAAAGGTTTTTCTGATGCGTTACCACATCCGCAATGGCTGACATGAATTGAAATGCCTTTGAAGGAAAGAAACTGCAAGCCTATCAGCCCGAATTGATCCCACGACATATCTCGCTCATTTAAAATTCCATTTCACATACATGGAGGCCCCAATGCCTCCATATGTAAAAATAACCTGCAATTCCAATAGCTTGAGGGTCAGAAAACCCCCTACAGATCGAATATATGCCATCGACCTGGGCCGACCGTGGGTGATAGTGAAAGTGTACCGAGTAAGGCCTTATCGAAATCTTGATCCGCTTAGACCAATGAACCGCTCCAGTCAAGAATCAGTAGGCTGGAGAAATTCGTCGAAAAAGCACGGAATCGATTTTAAGACTGCTACAGAAGGGCCTTAATAATCCAGATCCTCTCTTGCATGCCTTTAAAAGCCTAAATGGGATTTCCTTGTGCCGAGGAAATGGAAGACTCCATCATCAGCTGATCACAAAGAAAAACTAGCATGAACGAAATCCCCATTAGCCACTGCTCTAATATGCCTCCCATAGGTCTTTTTGGAGGGAATGCACTTTGTAGGGTAATCCGCAAAAAAGGTGCACTTGAAGCTCTTTTTGGGCTTTCGGAATAGGATGTTTAACAAAGCAGTGGTCAGCGCAAAATGCCTTTGACAATGTGCCCAAGAATAAGAATAAGAATTGCATGATTTGATTGCCTTCGTTTTTTTTCTTGTGAATAAAAGTGGCGCAGTGGCTAAAAAAGTCCTTGTGAGATCTTCTAGTAGCAAACACCGTTTTTTCTCGGGTAAAGCCGGTCATTTATTACCCAAGAGTCGAGTCTAAAGGTAAAACAGTTGTTGAGAAGAACGATGCCACTCAACTAATCACAGACCGGTCATCGGAAATCGTCAGGAAGCTCAGTACACCAGCATTCGTCTCAGTAGGTATACCACAGGAAACGCCAGTTACGTCCCCTTTCATTACCATTTTCAATCATTCCACTCAATGAAGGGCCTAGTCGAACCACGGAGCTTCATTTCACTTTCATGCTTCTCCCCTTATCAAACTACTCATTCTAAATGAAGGAACGCCTAGAGGGTTTTTTTTTCGAGCACTAACGCTAATGATGGCTCTCGCATC